TATTAAGGACTCTTTGTCTAATCTAAACTTGTTCCTTTCTTTTAGATGTCTGGCTCAAACAACGCTTCCGGCTCGAACTCCAACCCTTCAAGCTCCTTTTCTCTTATGAACATTTGTGGGACGGTCACTTTTGATGGGTCCAATTTCAATGATTGGATCTGCAACATCCGCATGGCCCTTCGATACGAGGAGAAGGAATATTTCCTCAACGAAGAGCTCAAAGAGATAGACGAAACCAAGGCTTCTGCTGAAGAGATAGTTGAGTATAGGGCTCATGAAAAAGACGCAACAAAGGTGTCGTGTATAATGGTAGCCACTATGATTCCAGAGCTCTAGCGGTTCTACGAGGACTACTGGCCTTACGAGATGTGCCAAAACTTGATGGAAAAGTACCATCAAAGTGCACGTCAAGAAAGGTACGAGATTGTTGCCTCGTTGATAACAACCAAGATGAAAGATGGAGAGTCTATCACGAGCCACTTGAAAAGGATGCAAAGGTATGTGGATCGTCTACTCAAGTTGAATGTCAAATTTGACGAAGAGTTAGCGATTGATATAATCATACACTCTTTACCTCCTTGCTATAACCAGTTTAAGATGACTTATCATATGAACAAAGAGGAAGTCACCTTGAGAAAACTTCAAGGTCTGTTAAGAACTTTTGAAAGTGGACTCAAAGACAAAGCTGTCATATCCACTCCTACTGCTACTGCCCCAGTCCTGGCTATTGGACATGGGAAGGGGAAAAATAGGAAAGCACCCTCTAAGAATCAAAAGGGAAATTCTCATGATGGATCTTCTTCAAGTGGGTCGAAAGGAAATGGTGGTTCTGCTACTCCTTCATCTGATCCGAAAGAAGCAGAGTGTTTCTATTGTCACGAAAAAGGGCATTGGAAACGAAGCTGCCCTAAATACTTGCAGGACATCAAGGATGAAAAGATAAAACTTTCATTCGCAGGTATTTACACTATTCAATCTAATAACTCATCACATGCTAGTTCTTAGGTCCTTGATATAGGATGTGGTTTTCACATTTGTTCTGATTTGCAGGGGCTAAGAAGAAGTAGGGATGTGGAGCATGGGAAGATGAAACTGATAATGGGGAATAGGAAATCGTCGCCTGTCACCAAGATCGGGATTTATTCTTTAGTGATTAGTAGTGGGTTAGGTCTAGAGTTGAATGATTGTTGCTACTCATCAGAAATGATGAGGAATATTATTTCTTTTCATGGTTTTTACTGACAAGGTTTTAGATTTTTGTTTAATAATGAAATTGGTTCTATAAATTCTTTCTATAATGGTACTTTATATTTTGAAGCATTGCCTTGTAATGGTGTATATGAAACTGTGATGGTTGTAGACAACTTAGGGAATAATGTGTTCCATATTGATTCGTTTAATGGTTTAGACAAGGCATGCTTGTGGCATTGTCGTCTTGGACATGTCAACAAGAAACGCATAGCCCAACTCCAAAAATATGGAGTCTTGGTGTCATTTAACCTAAAGCCAGATGATACATGCGAATCTTGTTTACTTGGAAAGACGACTAAATCACCTTTCACTGGTACTTGTGAAAAAGGTGATGGATTGTTGGATCTCATACATACAGACGTGTGTGAGGCCTTCAGATCCACCAGAAGGGATGCTAACAGCTTCTATGTTACGTTCACCGACGATTATATCAGATATGGGTATATCTACTTAATCAAGCACAAGTCGGAAACCTTTGAAAAGTTCAAAGAGTTTAAACAAAGAGGGGAAAATAAGTTGGGCAGGAAGATAAAGATGCTCAGATCCGATAGGGGTGGTGAGTATCTTAGTATCGAGTTCCACAACTATCTTAAGGAATGTGGAATTGTTTCACAATTGATGCCACCTAGGACACCGGAGCTTAATGGTGTGGCTGAGAGGCGCAATCGAACCTTGTTGGACATGGTTTGTTTCATGATGACTCGAGCTTTGTTACCTATCTCATTCTAAGGGTATGCCTTAGAGACTGTCTCTTATATATTCTTAATTTAGTCCCAACTAAGAAGGTTGCAAAAACACCTCAAAAGATGTGGACAGAGAAGGTTCCCCTTGTTGGCACATATCAAGGTTTGGGGTTGCGAGACATTTGTAAGACGAGAGACTCACGAAAAACTTGAACCCCGCAGTGAGCGGTGTATTTTCTTCGGCTACCCACATAAATCTTTTGGATATCTCTTCTACAGACCGAGTGACAATGTTGTCTTTGTTGCGGGGAGAGGGGTTTTCTGCAAGAGAGTACTCCTATGACAAGAGGACAGTGGGAGGCAAATAGACATTGAAGAGCTTCAAGAGTCAAGCGATGAAGGAACCTCTAACACTAGCGCTCAACCTGAGGAAGAGATTCCTTTTGAACCAGTTGACGAGTCCTCACCTCTAAGATGTTCCAGTAGAGTTAGTGTTCCACCTGTGTTGTATGGTTTCCATATAACAGCTGAAGGTGATACGTTTATCAGTGATAGTACACTAATAAATTTGGATAAGCCTAACAACTACAAGGAAGCCATGGAGGAGCGATCACTTGGAAAATTTCCAAGAAGGAAACTGTGGCTGATTCAACGTGCGAATCAGAGTACATTGCAGCGAGCGAAGCATCGAAGGAGGCAATATGGTTGAAGAAATTCATTGGAGACCTCGGAGTTGTACCAGCCATAAAGGAGCCTATGGAAATTTTCTGTGATAACGAAAGAGCGGTGACCTGAACCAGGGAACTGAGGGATCATGATAGGGTCCGAACACATCAACAAAATATATCACTTCATCAGACATCAGGCAGAAGAGGGACTCCTCATAGTTAAGAGGGTATCATTAAGGGAGAACCTAGCAGATCCCCTCACAAAGGGTCTCAACAGGGTTAAGTACTTACATCATGCGAGGAGCATTGGTCTGAAGGACAATATTAGTTTTAATGATTAGATAGATATTTAGAAACTTGTAATAGATAAAATGTAATTGACATTTGATGACTAAATAAAGGAATTTTATTTATGAGTAGAGTTTACTATCTTGTGTCGATTGTTTACTATTGTTTCACTTTTGCATGTTTTACTTCCAGAATAATTAGATTATTCAAATTATCCACAACAATCATACTTTGGGAGTAAGTTATGAGGTTAGACTATCGTGAATTGGTTTGTATATTGTCTAAGTGCTTAGAAAAAGCAAAGGTTTGCTACAACGTTCATGGCTACTTCTGAAATAAGATTTGAGTATTGGATTAAACCCACACTCATATGAATCACTTCATGTAATTTATCACGAGTGATTGTGAGACGATAATATCGTATAATCTTTAAACCGAGATATATGAGTTGTTCTTAACAATTTCGTTGTGCATTGATAATGCGTAAACGCATTAGTAACTTGATGTTATAAAACGTGTTGTTGTGTACGATTTAATGAGTAAATAGTACAAGCATATAAGTCAAAGTTTATCTGTTCCTTTTATCCTAAGAGGTAAAAGTGATATCTTGGGCCCCTTGATGATTTTGTGTTGACTAATGTGTCGGGCCCAGTCAGGACTGAATTGATGTGTTCAATTAAGTTCTATGTCAAGCAAATCAGAAGTGTGGAAACAAACAGTTGGACATTGAGAATGATTATGCTCCATGTCACTGTCCACACGATATCTTGCAGAATGGAGGATTATATGATCCCTTATCTTAAGGACACGTCATCGACTAGGTCAGAGTTCGACAGCGGCTTTTGAGAGCTACGATTGCTAATTGGATTTTGAAGTCATACTTGCAGTTATAGTTATTAGACTTATCCAAGTGGGAGACTGTTGGATTAGGTGTCTAAGCCCATAAATATAATTTGTATGTACTTGACCCGATAGTAGCATGGTCCTTTTGGGTTGCCTTCACCATAACAATTAGATGGGATGAATTATGAAGAAAGAGGTTAATTGTGATTTATTAATATATTACAAGAATAATGTATTAATTGAGAAATCATATTATTTAATTAGTATTGATCTTAAATTAATTTGGAATTAATTTGGTGATCAAAAGAGACTGATTAAATTATGGGGACTGATATTGAAATTATCTAATAGTTGCAAGTTGGGCTTGTGGATCCCTAGGAAGGGGTGGACGAAATTCTATGTGTAGTCGACATAGATTTTGTACAAGGAGGCCTTCTGGAAGGATCTACTGGACTGCTTAATGCTTAAGCAATCTGATTAGTGTTTTACCTGAAACCCTTGGATCGCTGAAATCAGACACTTGATCCTTACCCTAGCCAGTTTTTTTAGAGCCTCCTAACCTCTCTCATATTCTTCCAATTGCTACTTGGTGTTTGCGACTCACTAGAGGTGCAACAATTGAGGCACTAAGCTCTTGAAGGTCAAGATCTACAAGCTACAAGGAAAAGGTATTCATCTAACTTTGTTTTATGTTATCAATTTCGAAATTGTAAGCTAGAATTAGGGTTTATTATTTGGATGATTATTTGCATGTATAACTTGAGAAAAACCTAGAACCAAAGCATTAGGGTTACATGTTCACCATAGGAATGTTGTAATGCTCAAAACCCATCAGAATATTCATCGTCCAAAACGGAAAAAATCCAACAATTAATTATGGAAAACAAACCTGGATCACTAAATTGCCTATCAAGAACCCAAAATGATTTTTTAGGGATGTATTTAGGGAAAATAGCATAAAAGTCCCAAGTTTTACATGTGTAGTTGGGAAAAGACGTAACATTTTTTTTGTTGGCTTTGGCCACAACTTTTACGTAGAGTTATCACTCTAGCCCACTTAACTAGTTTCATGGTTAACTTTGGTATATTTCTTGCAAAAACAACCACATGTCCAAAAAAATTTCAACTTACACCATAGGTCTTGTAGTTTTGGACTGATTTTGAGATTTTCTAGCGAGAATAGGATTCTTCAGCGAGACATTTTCAGTGACATGAGGTTAAAATTGAGGGCATGGTTTTGTCTGCAATGGGGGGATGAGTGGAAAGGTTATAGTGATTTGGAGAATGGAGGGGAGGTGGAGGCTGTAACAGCCGTTTTCCGGTGAGGGTCGGTTTTTTTGCAGCAAGGCTCTCCGGCAGAGCTAGAGACGGCGAGGTTGGTTGGGTTATGGTCGCAAGGGTGGGGCGAACATAGTTGAGGCCTCAATTTGTGTCTTAGCGGTGGTTTAGGGGGTTGATTTTGAAGTTGTAGGTGGCTATGGTAGTGGAAGTGGTGATGTGAGATGACAAAGTTAACCCTAGTGTAGTTGAATTGTATATGAGAAATCGATTAAGAGCAAGATCAATCAATGTAATGAACTCAAAAAGTAAATAAGACTTTGAAGTTTCTATTACTCTCAATAAGCTTGATTACCAAAGTAGACTATGAAATCTGGAAAACTCGTAGTCTAAACCAAAGCTCAGTCCCTATTTATAGGAAACATGAGAGTACAAAAAATACTAAGTCTGGAACCATTACGCTTCATACAAAAGTGACTTAGTAAATACATTATATACGAAATAGACTAAACATAATTCGACTCTTTACAAGACATTGACCCTTACAATCTCCCCCTTTGTAAACGAGTCGAACTACTCAATTCGTGAGAATCTGAGCAGCTAAGTGCATCATCCTTCGTATCTCAGAATACCATGTTATTACCTTCTTTAACTCCTTCTTGTCACCATCATTGTTTTTCGAGCAATTATTCATACGAACAATAAAGTTCGTATATTGTGACGTTGTATATCTTTCGATCTCAGCAACTTGAAAGAGAAATCTCTTAGCCTTTCCTTTAGTGTCCTTCCCAGCAAACACTAAACCAAACGGTTTTAAACATATCTCTCCATCAGCATACTTTTTCAACTCAGCCTGTGTCTTTGAAAGTTCCATTGCAACAGAGACTTTCTTATCCATACTCGAAGCCAACTCTTCGTCAGTCAGGGCAAGACAATCATAATAATTGTCAATGAAGATTTTAATGTGAGCAAGACCTAGTCTGAACACTTCTTTGTGTATACCCTTGAGTTGTGATGCCTCCATTTCTTTTAAAAGTAATGAAACTTGAATAAGATCATTCAAGTTCATTAGAGGGAAGTCTGCAATACTGAAATCGATTTCTTGATTGTTTGCACGAATCACATGATACCTAAAATTTTGTATCATGTCTTCGAACAAGACATCTTTCTTAATAGCAACAACTTTCTTGATCTTGATCAGAGACCACACTTCATCTTGCTCTTTTCCAAGTACAGCATGAAAACGAATTTTCATGTGTGTATAATCATCTGGGTTTTTGAATTTCTCACTAATCTTGTATTGAGCAGTGATAAACATCATTTCGTTTACCGGAAAGTCCAACTGACAAAAATCAGTGTTAGCAATCGAATACCTTTTCCTTGGATTCTTTTCGAAAGCATACATATGATTGAATGCAACTCTCGATTCAATTGATTCATATGAATACAACTTTTTGGGATCACCTTTGTCCATTCCAGGTGGATCATTTTCTCTCAACCTCAGAATACTTTGAATATGCCTTTGAGGTTCGATTTCAACCCCCACCTCTGCTTTCTTTTCTTCTTTAGACTTTTCGACTAGCACACCTTTCCCTTTGTCTTTCGAATCTGAATTTCGTTTTAAGGAACTTGAACTACCCCCTTCTGTAGCTGAATCAATCACAATTCCTTTTGGTTTTGTAAAAGGTTTTGTGGTAACAATTGTTGTTGAAATAGTATCAGACTTCACTGGAATTGAAACAGAAATTTGTGTAGAGAACACCTTTCCAACAACTTTCGAATCTCCAGTTGTTATCTTCTCTCCTTCTCCCTTTCTATTCACATTTACTCCTTTGCTCACTTTCGTTTCTCCCCCTTGCACCCCTGTGTTAACAGGTGGGGCATTCTGTGGCAACAGTTGAGCAAACTTGGAAATAGGAGCAACCGCCTTCTGAATAACCTGATCAAGTAAATTCAACTTCTGAGTAAGGAACTCAGGAGTTAAAAACGAAGTTGGAGTAGGCTTCGAAACAACTTCTTTTAACTCTTCAAGAAGAGACTGCAATTTCGCAAGCTGATTGTTGTCTTCAGTTGCTTTAGATTCAAACTTCGGCATTGCGTCTTGAAAAGTTTTGACAAAATTTGTAACTGCCCCAACAATTATATCAACCTTCTCTTGAAGTGAATTGTACTGAGAATTCATATTCATGAGTTCCTGAGAGACTTCCTTCTTCAACTCTTCGAGTTTCAAATTGACATCTTCACGAACCTTTTTGACATCTTGTACGAAGAGAATATGACGTTCCTTCGCAACAGCCTTCAAATCCTTTAAGGCCCCTTCAAAATTTCCTGTCTGAGTCTTGATACGAAGCTCATTATTTTGATCAGAAAGATCTATCTTCTCATGAAGTCTTCGTTCAGCTGCCTTTATCATTAATTCAACTTCAAGACCCGAAACCGAATGTGTTGCTCCTGAATCAGCTTGAGACTGAAGAAGTGAGTTTAACTTCCTGTTCAAGATTTTGAACTGTTTTCCTGACATTAACATATGATCAGGAATCTCCTCCTCTTCCGAATCAAAATGCAATTCGTCGAACGTTCCTCCAAAACCTCCTCCTTCGGTTTCATCATCAGAATGATGTTTGGGTGTGTCTGTGGATTGTGATGGAAAAAGAGTAGTAATTGGTTGTTGAAGAATAGTTTCAAACAGTGGAGATGAAGTAGAAGTTGAGATGGGTGGTGGTAAGGAAACAAACGAAGTTGAAGTAATAGGTGGTAATGAAGAGAGAGAATAATAGGTTGTGAAGACTTGGTTACCAATTTTTCGAGTGGAATGGTTGGAGTAGGAGAAATGATAGAAACATTCGAAATTGAAGAGATTATAGGTGTTGAGGTTACCATAGAAGTCGAAGCAATAGGAGTATCAGGAACAACTTCGTTGTCTGAGGAATCATCTCTTATTACAAGCTTTCGCTTGTACCGTTTTTGTGTGATGTGCTTCGCAACATCATGAGCACGTCTCTTTTTGGATAACGGTGAAACAGGAGCAGGTATTTCACAAAATACCACTCCTTTACTGCTAACCTGAGTCTTACAAACCATCAGAGAGTCATCAGACGAAGTTCGTTTAGATGATTTCATACGAATCCGTTTAAGAATTCCTGATTTTGAAGGAACAACTTCTTTCGAAGGCTGAGCTTCATTCTCTTCTACTTTCTTCTTCTCATCACCCTCAACTTTCTTGGGCGAAGATTTATTAGACTTCGTTTTCTTTGATGGCTTGGAAGAGCCAGCTTCGATTTCAAGTAACACCCCAGTTTCAACATCAGGGTTCACCGTCTGCAAATACTTTACAAGAATCTTGTTCGTAGGATTCACCTTCTTGAGCATTGCATCTGGAATTCTTGCAACACTTGTAAAAATTTGCTCATCATCTTGAACATTCTTTGGAAATTGAAACTTCGTAAACTCAGCAATTTCTTCACCCTGAGGAACTTGAATTCCTTCTTTCTCATACACCTTCTCCAAAATTAAACTCCAGTATCTAGCACAAGAAATTCCCTTAGCCACACTTGTACGTTCTAAGCTTTTCGTGAATTCGATCCACAACTGAGTGGCATAATCCACACTCAAGTCGTAATATAAACCCATGACCATAGCATAAACTTCTTGTCTTCCCTTGTCAAGACCCACTTTTCTTCCTGTTAAACATCGTAGAAAAATCCCAAACAAGAAATTCCAGATACAGGGAAGCCCAGACTTTTTGAAATCACTTATCTTTTCGAGTGGTGGCTGGTGACCCATCTCGTTGAACATATGCACAATCTGTGGGTTAGAAGGTTTGAAAAAGGTGGTGAATTAGGAAGCTCCAAGAACTGTGAGAACATCTTCTTGGTGAGACGAATGCGTTTCTCATTTACTAAGTTGAAAGTGATTACATCAGTTCCTTTATTGAATGAAGCAGTAGATGCAGCCATAGACAACCAAGTTAGTGGAACTGCGAAAGATTTGAACATAGCGGTGGCAAGAACTGATCTTTTCAATGCAACTATCAGCATCTTGAGCTCTTCTGGATACAACGAGACATTTGATTCAACCTGATAGTTTGTGCTTTGTATCGTCATCAGAGGTTGGGATGCAATTTCGTCGTTAGTGGAATTCTGAACACAGCCATTTGAATGTTGATTGGAAGCTTTCAAAAAGATATTAGGGCTTTTTGATCTTCTGTGAATTCTTGAACGCGTGATTTCAAAAAGAAAGAAGATTTTCCTTTTATAAGTAAGCCCAAAGTAATGTGAACCGTTTGTCATTAAGAAGTAGATCACATCATCCCTTGAAACGCGCACCAGTAGCCGTTATTGTAGCTATGTCAGATAAAGTTCCTTGAAACTAGGGCCAAGGTACCAAACGGTTACTTTGAGACTGTTCATGAGTACTTGTGGATAAGATCAAACGTTTCGGATTTGAGGTTGGGCTCATTCGTTTTTGGGATTCGAAACGAAGTCATTTGCCAGTCTTGTGAAATCATCAGCCTAAGTTGGTATTACTTAGAACCTCAAGGATTTCGTGAGTGTAGTGATTCAATGAAAAAGGATAAGAAGCAAATTAAAAAAATTTGGATCTGTGATGTCAAATATGTTGACACAAAAGAAGTTAAACCCCAGGCAAAGGTTGCTTCGTTAATTATCAAGAGAGATAACTAACAGCTTGTGCATTTTCCCGTGAATTACAATCGAATACTTTTAAAGAAGTATCAAAGGGCTTCTTTTTCAAGGCTTCAATGGGTGGCTTATGAATTTCGTTACATATCATCCTAAACATAAGGTGAGAAATTGTAAACGAAATTACTTGTTTGACCAGTGTAGTCAGTGACAAGTGGCTTTGTAAAATTTGTGAAAGTGACTAGAGAAAAGAATTGATACTCACACTGAAATCACATTCAAAGAAAAATAGTTAAGCTGGATTTCGTTGGGAAACAAATGTCGTGGGTTTCGAACATTTGATCAAAACCACTCATACGAAAGAATGTGATATGGAGTATACGAAACTTGGGTACAGAAACAAGTGTTTCGTAAGAATCTGGAACAAAGTTCCCCGTCAATTCCTTATTAAGTTCGGATATTTGGGTTTCACTTGCATCACGGTCTCATGATTTAAGATCATTAACACAGATTTTTGACATGTTTAAGTCACAATTGGTTTGATCAATGACCTCTTGAACATGTGTCTTTGATGTGTGAAAAGTGTTAAGAAATTTTGTGATGAAAAAGATTGGTTAAGATTCGAATGTACCTCTGTTATATATGGACCAAACAGATAACTCTTAACTCATTTGAGAAGAGTAAGGTAGCTCATTGGACTAATGCGAATGTAAGCCTAATTTGGAAGAAACTTTCGTATGAAAAATTTCATTAAGGCTTTCGTAACACACATAGAGTCAGTTGAGGCTTGGGTCGACATGCAGCAGTATGCTTCTAGGGACATTTTAACTAGTACAAAGATTTAAGAGAATTACCTTCCTATAGAAACACAAGCATGACCCTTTGAAGTTTTGTCATGAAAATTGTTCTTGAAGGCCTAAAAAATAACAAAGTAACCAAAAATCTTTTTGAATTTTCTATTTAAATTTTTTTTTTGTGATTTTGAATTTTTCGAAAAATAAAACAAGCAATAAAAGAAAATGCTTTTGATATTTTTGATTTTTCGAAAATTAATGCAAAGAAATAAAAATATTTTTGGTTTTTCAGCTGAACAAAATTTTAAACAAATGAAAAGAAATGATAGTATCAAACACGCGAAAAGTTTTAGTTTCAATATACGAAAACGAAGCGTGTCGAAGCCTCTTAACGCACAGTAACCTCTGAATGATTAGGACAACAAGCCTCTGAATCGACACCTTTTTCATCAACAACATTTCGTTAATTTTGAGTATTTGATCCTGGTACCGAATACGCATCTATCATTCCCAAATCTGCTAAAATTCTCACAAAAGATTTTTCATCAAGTGGTTTAGTGAAAATATCAGCAAGTTGATTAGTAGTTTTGACAAAATGAACTTCAATGTTACCATCTTCCACATGATCTTTTATAAAATGATAACGAAGAGCAATGTGTTTCGTTTTCGAATGTTGTACTGGATTATGACAAATGCGAATAGCACTTTGTGAATCACAGTACAAAGGAATCTTTTTCATATTAATTGCATAATCACGCAATTGACTTTGAATCCATATAATTTGTGATGTGCAAGCAGCAGCAGCTACATATTCTGCTTCAGCTGTTGAAATTGATACACATGTTTGCTTTTTCGACTGCCAGCTCACCAACTTGCCATCGAGAAATTGACATCCGCCACTTGTACTTTTTCTGTCGAGAGTACATCCACCAAGGTCTGAATCCGAAAAGGCTTGAATGAAAAATCCAGATTTTGAAGGATACCATAATCCCAACGAAACTGTTCCTTTAAGATAACGAAAAATATTCTTTACAGCTGTTAAATGTGTTTCTCTTGGATTTGCTTGATACCTTGCACAATTGCACACAGAAAACATGATATCAGGTCTACTTGCAGTTAAATAAAGTAAAGAACCTATCATGCTTCGAAACAAAGTAAGATCAACAGCAGGTGAATCTAACGAAGGTGTTAACTTCGTTCCTACTGCCATTGGTACTCTTAGCTTAGTGCTATTAGTCATTCCAAACTTTTCAAGCAAATTCTTCGTGTATTTTTCTTGGTTAATGAAAATTCCTTCTCTGCTTTGACGTATATTTAACCCAAGAAAATTGTGGATTTTACCCATCATGCTCATTTCGAATTTACTCTTCATCAAATTTTCGAATTCTCTAGATAAGGCAGGGTCAGTTGATCCAAAAATAATATCATCAACATAAATTTGAACAAGCATTAGATGATCCCCAACTTTCTTTCGAAATAATGTGGGATCAACAGATCCTTGTTTAAATTTAGATTGTTTCAAAAATGAAGTAAGAGTTGCATACCATGCTCGTGGTGCTTGTTTTAACCCATAAACTGCCTTATCTAAAATATAAACATGATCAGGATATTCTTCTTTATAAAACCTGGGGGTTGTTCCACATAAACTGTTTCTTCAAGCTCTCCATTTAAAAATGCACACTTCACGTCCATTTGATAAACATCAAAGTCTTTGTGAGCTGCATAAGCCAGAAATATACGAACAGCCTCGAGTCTTGCGACAGGGGCAAAAGTTTCTTCATAGTCGATTCCTTCTTGTTGTGAATATCCTTTAACAACAAGTCTGACTTTGTTTCGAATAATATTCCCATCTTTGTCGGTTTTAATTTTGAAAATCCATTTTAGCCCGACAATCAAAACATCATCAGGTTTTGGAACAAGTCTCCAAACCTTGTTTCGTTCGAATTCAGCAAGTTCAGATTGCATAGCAACAACCCAATCTGAGTGTTCCATAGCATTCTTAACTGTTTTTGGCTCTATTTTCGAAATAAAAACATTAAACATGCAAAATTCTTGATTCGTATTCAGTACCTCATTTTTCGCACGAATTTGAGCTCTTGTTAAAACTCCATCTTGTGGATTTCCTATAACTTGCTCTTTTGGATGATTCTTTGTCCATTTCTCAAGTGGTGGATATGCTGGATCAAATTCCAATGGTGCATCTTCGTACATTTCTTCATTTTCAGTACCTGCCACAGAAATATTATCATCAAATTCATGAAATTCATCATTTTGATCAATATTAATTGCATCTGTATCATCATGCTCCCCCTCAACATGATTATCGTTTTGATGCTCCCCCTCAAATTCATGATTCATACTACTCTTCTCCCCCTCGAAAGGATGCTCCCCCTCAACATTTAGAGGAATAGACGTATGCTCCCCATCCATACGAACATTTAGCATACTTTCGCCATTTTCAGTAGTATCCGAAGTGAGTGTTGAATCATCAGTATGTTTTGATGATTCGGGTGTTTGATTATCATCAGCATGAACTTCAGCATCAATTGCTCTATCTGGAACACCAAAAATGAGATCATAATCAAAATCAATTGTATTATTATTCTCAGTTTGATTTTTTGATTCAGCAAGAATTGGTTTTTGGTCAAACTTTCTTTCGACTTGTTTAACATAGTAATCATCAAAGGTGAGATTAAAAGTTTCTTCAGCTTTGCGAGTTCGTTTGTTCAACACTCGATATGCAACAGAAGTATGCGAATATCCCAAAAATATGCCCTCATCAGCTTTAGCTTGAAACTTTGAAATATTATCTTTAAGATTCATGATGAAACATCTGCAACCAAAAACATGAAAAAATTTGACATTAGGTTTCCGATTATTTAGTATTTCATAAGGAGTGATATTAAATCTTTTATGAATAAAAGAACGATTATGA